CATGAAAGGCTGTAAACAAAAAAACCCATCAGTCCCTCTGAAGAGGATCACAGTTAGGCACCTTTGCAATTTTACGTACAAGGAAGCTTTTATAGCACCTTATGTTTACCTCCTATTAGTAGACTAGGGGGTTTTTTTTTATGGTCATTAATCTTCATTAAAATCTTCTTTCAATAATTCTGGTCATGTAAATCTAAAGTGCTTTACTGTGGGGAAAATATTTATTCAGGACAACAGTTAACAAGTGTATCCAAATATTGGTTTGTCAGATGCTAGCAAAATGCATGAGACTGACATTTTCTAGCAGCCCTGGAGGCAGATACCATACCCTCAAGTGCTTAGAAAGAAGGTGATAGAGTGGCTTAAAGGATTGGTAATTGGATACTTCACCTTTAGGTCACAGTAGGTCATTGGTTCAAGTACAGAATAGGCTAGTAATGACTAAAAATAATACTATCTGACAGCTATTTGGAGGCCTATGTGAAATGCATTGGTGATCTTAATACAATGCTTAGTAGACATGTATCAATGCTCAAAAAAGAAAATGAAGATGTTTGGCAGCTTTCTTAGAAATGTTTGCATAGAAATACTGGATGTGGGTTACCTAGGCTGAGGTATGTTGACATGGAAGTTAGTTTCCTAACTAAATTCACTAGGACTCTTCTCTGAATAAGGACAACGGGACTGAGCCCTTGAGGTTTATGCAATATGTGAAGAGGGGTAAGTCACTATCTGTAACTTCTTAGGCTATGTCTACACTGGCAATTGAACAACAAAACTTTTGTCTTTCAGGTGTTAAACCCTCCCTCCCCCCGAAAGGCAAAAGTTTTGCTGCAACAAGTGACAGTGTGAACAGTGCATTGTCGGCAGGAGCGCTCTCCTGACGACAACGCAAACGCTATTCGTTGGGGGTAGAAGTTTTTTGTCAGCAGGAGAGTCAACAAACAGTGGCTATACTGCACGACTTTTAGCGGCACAGCTGTGGTGACACAGCCGTGTCATTAAAAACTGCGTAGTGTAGACATAGCCTTAGTATTGTCATAGCTTCACTGGTAGAAAAAAAGCTATAGTTAGTAATGCCTTTGGTATCATGGAAAAAATACAATTAAAATTGTAAATATCTGAAGTCACTTCTAAGCTCATCATTATTTAGAATCCTAGGAGATCCAATCAAGATAGAGATCCCATTCTATCGGGCACTGTACAAATAAACAGTCAGTAACATTTCCTTCCCTGAAGACCTTACAATCCAAACAAAGAAAATAGACAAAGGTAGGAGGAAAAACAGAAGCACAGAGAATTGAAGTGACTTGCTCAAGGTAATACACTAGGTCAGTGACAATGCCAGACATAGAACTCAGGTCTCCTGACTCCTACTCCAGTGCCTAGTCCACAAGGCCACACTGCTTCCTAGTGGACAGCTGCATTGTAGCAGTCTAATGAAGCCATGATTCCTTTGGGAGGAAAAAAGCATTTTATCTGCCAAGTTGGCTGACATAGGAACTGCTGTCCTCAGGCAATTGGCCTGGGGTGAGCGTGAAGCTTTCCCTGATAGCTGTGGAGGCCTTATTCATCAGTTTTTGCAGAATTTAAACTTTCATTTAAAAACAATTGCTTGTTACAATGACCACACAACTGAACTGAACAGGCCTGCTGAAGTGGGGCGAAGAGGGAATTGCCCAGGTGCCTGGGCGATTTAAAAGGGCCCGGAGGCCCCTGGCCACCGCCAACAGTGCAGCAGAGCTAAGACAGGCTTCCTGCCCGTCCTTGCTCTGCACCACTCCCGGAAGCGGCCAGCATGACTCTGTGGCCCCAGAGGGGGGTGTCTCTGCATGCTGTCCCCGCCCTGAGTGCTGACTCCACAGCTCTCATTGGCTGGGACCTGTGGTCAATGGGAGCTGTGCGGCTGGTGCCTGTGGGCAGCAGCACATGAAGAACCCCTGCCCCACCCCCCCCACCTACAAGCTGCTGCCAGAGGGGTGTGCCGGTCACTTTCAGGAGCCGCCTGAGGTAAGCGCTGACTCCCTGACCCTCTTGTGCACCCCAACCCCCTGCCCTAGCCTAGAACCTGCACCCCCCCCCAAAGCCTGCACCCGGCACCTCTTCCTGCACCCCAACTCCCTCCCAGAACCTGTACCCATCACCCCTTCCACACCCAAATCCCCTCCCAGAGCCCACAGTCCCTTCTGCACCAAACTCCTCCCAGAGCCCGCACCCCACACCCCTTCCTGCACCCAAACTCCCTCCCAGAGCTTGCACCCCGCACTCCAACCCACTGCCGCAGCCTGGTGAAAGTGAGTGAGGGTGGGGGAGAGCAAGCAATGGAGGGAGGGGGAATGGAGTGAGCAGGGGGCTGGACAGGGGCATGATCTCAGGGAAGGGGCAGGGTAGGGGCGGGGCAAGGGTCTTTGGGTTTGTGCGATTAGACAGTTGGCAACCCTGCCAGGCGGGCATGTGGAAGTCCTGGATGTACTGGAAGAGTGCATGCAGCAGGCAGCTCGCTGGGCACCTGCCAGTGCAGGTGCAGCACTGCTCAAATGTCAGGTGGACCGTCCGTGCGGGCACGGCTTGTGTGTGCGTGGGGGCCCATTGACTATTCTGCCCCGCAATTGCTGTGAGCGGGCCTGGAACTGACACAGTAGTGTCTTCCTCAGTCTGCTGACAGACCGCTTCAATGATTTAGTTATAGAGCAAGCAACAGCAGAGTGAAATTACAAGACTCTAGTCAGTTTTACAATCAATTACAATTGTGGGCAGCATTAAGACTGTAAATAATTATTTCTTTCTTCTGCTGCTCCTTGAGAAAGCTATGAGTTACAACAGAGGAGGAATTAGAGTTGGTCAGTGGAGAGGAGGTCCCAAAAAATGGACATTGGCAAAAAGAGACAGTAGGGGAGACCTACTTTTTTTGCAGTAGACGCCATGGGGCTCGGAAAGGCAAAGAAAGATATCCCCCCTCTTTCACCCTTCTAAGAGCTGGAACTTCAAATTTAGAATGAGCGCCTTAAGGGGGGTCTCCACTTGTCTTTTATATTTATCTCTACCTAACAGGTGTCCAGTAAACTTTTCAAATTCTAGATATAACTCTCACTGGAAAACACACACAAAGTTAAGCACTTGTGCAAGTGATTGCAGGTTTGGAGTCTTTTACTGTACCTTTAACTCAGCATTAATCTATTTAGTTCTTTGCATCAAGCTATTAGAATGGGGAAAATGTTAATGCCACTAACACTGCTGTACTAGTTTTCTGGACGAACAGACACTTCAGTTTCCAAGTGTGTAAAGCACTACATTTCCTATTAAAAAAATCGTCCACGGGGAATCCTATTGATAGGCAATATCTTGTTCTAAAGTAACTTATCACTGAAAAGTCAATGTTCAGGATTGTTGGATCTATATGATTCCTGCAGTGTGAACAGGAATTTGAAAAAAACCTTAGTAAACCTTAGTGACTCTGACTGACTATACAAAAGCAGAACTGTTAAATAAATAAAATTGTTTTTACATGGCTGCTTTCCTGATAACTGCACTTGGACTACACTAATTTTTCACAACTGTTGCACAAGATAAAAACAGAATGCTTAACTTTCAGTGCAGTTCATTTTTCTCAGAAGAGTGCAAGTGTGGAATGGAAGACAGGTTTGCTTAAGATTGCTGTCAGGAATACAAGCCAAAATTTGAGAAAAGTCAATGATTTCAGGAATTATACTGAATTTAGATCCTTGTTATTTGCTCAGATTGTGTACAATTTGTTTCTGGTACACCAGTTTAATACTATGGACAAAAACAGTACTTGATTTCAATAGGTCTACTCAACATGAATAAAGTTAAGCATGTACTTTGCATGGTATTGGCCTGAAATTAGTTATACAGAAAGTTGGGAAGTTATTTTTATTATTGCTGCAAGGGCTAGCACTGGGTAGGGGAATATAGTTTATTTTCTCAAGTAAAATATCTACAAGGTTTTCATTCTTTTCAATCCTTAAGGCATAAGATTTACCAGACAGGGCTACACACATACTAAATCATTTTTAAGGCCTGACAACCTGGGCTCGGTTCTTTGAAAGTTTTCACCAGTGATGAGGCCAGTGCACATATCAGAGTTCCCATACATCAAATTACAAACATTCAGGGGGAAATAAAGTAAAAGTAGTATTGTATGACAGAGGTCTGGTGCAATCTGGGTCCGAATCTGGTATGATGGTAGTTTTAAAAAAGGCAGTTATAAATCCCCGTGGACTCTGTCTCTCTTTCCAAGCCAAGGTAAAGGCATAAACCCGGAAATGATCCCTTCTTCCACCTCACCAAGCTAGGAGCAGCAGCTTGGTGTTTGTACACCTCATCCCAGCTTTACTCGTACAAATCCATCTCCTTAGGGAGACGTGTGACAAGGCAACCTACAATCAATATGGAAAACTCTCCGGGCTATAAATCAGCCACGTGGAGCTGTCGCCGCTGCTGCGGTGACTTCCTGCTTCAGATCATTTGAGCTGTTGGGCGCAGCTCAGCAGGGAAAAGACGAGACAAGCAGCAGAGGAATCGGGGCAGTTTTAAGGAGGGGGAGAAAAAGTTTGTGCCTGCAGCACAGTGACGGACTGAGCAGGGGGCGGCGGCAGTAGCAGCCGGCGGCGGCGGCGGAGGGAAGGCAGCAGATCAGCAGGCAGGGATCGGGGTAGAGCTAAAGAGAGGAGCAGGAGCGGAGAGCAGGCGGCTAGAGCGAGCAGGAGCGGGGGGCGCAACGCCAGGCGCGGGCAGGGAGCCGAGCCCGGCTCCGGGCTGGGGACGGGGTAGCTCAGGAGGGGGCCGAGGCGGGCGGCGGGAGCGGTAAGCGGTAGCAGGGCGTCGGGCCGGCGCGGGACGATGCGGCTGAAGCTGGGCTTTCTGCTGCGCGCCGTGCTGCTGGCGGGCAGCTTCCTGGGGCTGCTGCTGCTCTGGTCCTCGCTGTCCCCCCGCGCCGAGGAGCCGAGCCCGCAGGGCAGGATGTGGGTGAGTGAGCGAGCGAGCGCTCGGGCGGGGCGGTGTCTCCCCCCAGTGCGGGGGGATGGGGAAGGGGTGTCTCCCGGCCCGCCCAGCCCCCTCCAGGAGAGGCGGCTGCTCCTGGCAGGGCCTCCCTCCTTCGCTGGGCGGCGGCTGGCGCCCAGGCTGCGGCCTGTGGCGTTTGAAGGCCCGACCGGGGAGCTGCGGCCGGCCTGGCTAGCCGGGCTCCTCACAGCGCCCCTACGCCCGGGCACCATGCCCAGCCGTCCCCGCTGCCGAGCACGGGTGGGGCGGGCTTCGCTGTGGCGGGCACGCGGGGATCGAGCCCCGCTGGGCGACCGCCGCCCTCGGGCCTGCCGTGACCCTGTGGCTCTGGGCAGGGGGAGTCCCGCCCACCCCCGAGGCCGTCGATACCCGTGAGGGGACCAGGCTGCGGCCCGTGCAGTCCCCCGGTGCAGCGGCAGCCTAGCCCCAAGAAGGGCTGGCTTTGGTGGGTGCCGCGCTCTTCTCTCCCCCCCGTTACTCGGGGTGATGGTGGCGGCTTGCAGCGCCCACTGAAATGTCTGAGCAGACCTAGGGAGGATCAGGGACATTCAATTGAGAAGGGAGACAGACCGGAGCTGAGGCTCTGGGGGGTGTATCCGGCACTCACCGAGTTCATTAGAGCGACGCTGGAAGGGCTATGTTATCCCGCGCCCGCAGGTGGTAGGAAATAACCTACCTTCTTCTGCGAACTAAATGGCAGGAGCAAGAGCTGCACAGGTGTACAGGGCTAGCTGTAGTTAATCAGTTTCAGTCAGAGGCAGTCTTTTATATACAAAAACAATGCCCTTACCTTGTTCGTTTTGGATAAGAGCACTGGCTCAGGCATATGCTTTTATTGCAGTAAACGATAGCTTGAACAGTGATTTCCTAATTGTGAAACACTTGATATACATCTCAGCCTCAGGGTAATTCTGGTAGAGGCCTTGCACCTCTGTATTCACTGCCTGGGAAAATGCACAGAACATTAATCCTGGCACTTTTAGTAAAAGCTACAAATTGCACCATTTTTGCCTTGGCCTTCCCAGTTGATCTAATTCCTAGCTGACTGGTTGGATTAAAGGCACATTTTGTCACATTAAGATAATTAATGTCTCAATGTAAACTGTCCAGATACCTCATAATGCTTACTTTTTACCATGTATTAAAAAACACTACACGTTTTCTTCTCTTCCCCCTTTCACAAACTTTCTTCATTCTCCTGTGATGTGGTAGTTCTCATCTCAAGGGGCCCCCACTGTGCTCCACCTACTACAGACAGAGGAGCATTTGTGGTAGAGACGAGAGAAACAGATCCAGCAGAAAGAGTAACATGAAAAGCTCTTGCTGCTGGCATGATAGTAGTAGTTGGTGTGGGGGTGGCAGAACAGACCTTATTCAGGGCTACAAGTCCCCACAGTGAAACAGTAGCATGATCTCTGATATCTAGAACAACTGACTGCTGTTGTAATAGCATTTTGTTCTTAAAATATTTTTTACCAATAGCTTGTAAAAATGCTATACTTCAAGAGGTCTGAGAAACAAATGTGCATGCTCCCCAACTGCATGTGTTACTATAGAATTACTGCAGTTGAGAATAAACCAGCCCTCCTTTGACTGGATTTGCAGTAGGTATTTCTGTTTAGATCATATCTTGTAAGTGCTGTTCATCATGCTGAGGTTCAAAAGCTACGTTTAAAGTAATCTCGGAGATCTTACTTTAACCCACAAAAGCAAGCAAGGAAATTTCATAGTTAAAACTAAAAATCTGAGATGACATTCTGGCTTTCACTCATTGTGTGTTTGGCTTTTATAGCTGAACGCTTTGCATAATAACCAAGAGAAAGTTAGTTTGTATAATTCTTAACTTGTGAACATTAGTAGGCTCTTTCAAGAGATGTTGCTATCGTTTGGAACCCGTACAGTTTGTTGGATCGTGTCAGATATAGTTGAGATGATGGATTATAATGGCTCCTTTGGAGTTCTCATGGTTGATTAGAAAATGAGTTTTCTATTTTCTGATCTGTCCTTCTAAAAACATGTTTTGTGCCCGTACAATAAACCCATGTTTAAAATCTTTAGAATTTTTAGTTGCATATGAATTTTCTTGTCTGTGACATTTCAGTTTAAATTCACTAAAATCATTTATTTTTATTTTTAGTGCTTATGAAGGGTGTTAGTCTTGACAGCTTTGGAAACTAAAGTCTCCTAAAAGAATAGGCAAATCATGGGTAGTAGTTATTGAGAGGTAATTCAGAGTCTATCCTCACAGCAAAGAAAAACCCATGGCTGGGCTGTGCCCACTCACGTGGGCTTGCATGCCTTGGGCTGCAGAACTGTTTCATTGACACCTGAGCTCTGGGACCGTTGTGCCTCACAGGTTCCTAGAGTCTGGGCTGCAGGCTGAGCCCAGAAGTCTACACAGCAATGAAACAGCCCCACTGGCTGAGCTCTGTGAGTTTGAGTCAGCTGCCGCAGGCCAGCTGCAGGTATCGTTGCAGCTTCAGGTGGTTCCTACTGGTCACTATTGAGGTGCACTTCCTGATGTGAAGAATCTTTCCCCGCCTCTGTGTGCGTGTATTGATTAAAACGAGGACTGTAGTGCAATGAAACTTCCACCTTTCACAAACACTAAATTCACTCAGATAAAAATTGCTTCTGAGCTGAAACCTTGTGGCCAAGTTGAATGATTACAGACAAGGTGGATGAGGTAATATTTTTATTGGACCAACTTTTGTTGGTGAGGCCTGGTCTACACTATGAGTTTATGTTGGATTTAGCAGTGTTATATCCGAATTAACCTTGCACCCGTCCACACAACGAAGCCATTTTTTCAAGATAAAGGGCTCTTAAAACCAATTTCTGTACTCCTCCCCAACGAGGGGATTAGTGCTGAAATCGACATCGCTGTTTCGAATTAGGGTTAGTGTGGACGCAATTCAAAGGTATTGACCTCCGGGAGTTATCCCACAGTGCACCATTGTGACCTCTCTGGACTGCACTCTGAACTCGGATGCACTGGCCAGGTGTACAGGAAAAGCGCTGGGAGCTTTTGAATCTCATTTCCTGTTTGGCCAAGCTAGCTAATCAGCACAGGTGACCATGCAGTCCCAGAATCGAAAAAGAGCTCCAGCATGCACCGAACGAGAGGTACTGGATCTGACCACTGTATGGTGAAAAGGAATCTGTGCTATCAGAACTACGTTCCAAAAGACAAAATGCCAAAACATTTCAAAAAATCTCAGAGGCCATGAGGGACGCAACACAGTGCCCCATGAAACTTAAGGAGCTCAGAAAAGCGTACCAGAAAACCAAAGAATCAAACAGACGCTCTGGGACAGAGACCCAGACATGCCGCTTCTATGCTGAGTTGCATGCAATTCTAGGGGGGGCCACCACCACGACCCCACCCCTGTCCATAGTCTCCGATGATGGGGTACTCTCCGCCATGGCTGAGGATTTTGCGGACGGGGAAGATGAGGAGGAGGAGAACGAGCTTGGGGAGAGCACACAGTACACTGTTCTCCCTGACAGCCAGGATCTTTTTATCACCCTGACTGAAATACCCTCCCAACCCAATGAAGCCGGAGAGTGTACCTCTGGTGAGTGTACCTTTTAAAATATAATACATGTTATAAAAACAAGCGTTTTTTAATGATTAAGTAGCCTTGAGGACTTGGGATGCATTCGTGGCCAGTACTGCTACTGGAAAAGTCTGTTTACGTGTCTGGGGATGGAGTGGAAATCCTCCAGGGATATCTCCATGAAGCTGTCCTGGAGGTATTCTAAAAGCCTTTGCAGAAGGTTTCTGGGAAGAGCAGCCTTATTCCGTCCTCCATGGTAGAATACTTTACCACGCCATGCTAGTAGCAAGTAATCTGATATCATTGCATGACAAAGCCTGGCAGCATATGGTCCTGGTGTTTGCTGGCATTCAAGCAACATCCATTCTTTATCTCTCTGTGTTATCCTCAGGAGAGTGATATCGTTCATGGTAACCTGGTTGAAATAGGGGAATTTAATTAAGGGGTCATTCAGAGGTGGCCGTTCCTACTGGGCTGTTTGCCTGTGGCTGAAAAGAAATCCTCCACGCAGTTAGCCACGTGGGGAGACGGGGGGCAGCATTGGCGCTGAGGGGTTCGCGTTTGGCTAGCAGGTATCTTCTCTGATACCTGCCAGGCGGTGGGGGGAGGGGAAAAGCGATCATCCCAGAGAACTGGATTGGGGGAGGGGGTTAGTTTGGTTCTGCTGCTGCACGTTAACAGGAAAACTGCAGCACTAAATGGCCAACTCAACGGGCTTTGCTTGGTATGGGAAAAGAGGGGGCTGCTGTTATGAAGGTTGCAGAAGCCGAAAGACTATGGCTTACCATGGCCGCCTGCAAGCCGAATTCTATTGCCCGGCCCTGCATGTGTGATCTCTAACACCAAAGCCGCAGGCACTCAATATAAGATGCAAAATGCGACCTTGTACCAAAATCACATGTGCTATGTAATGTGAATAGTGTTGTTCACTGTGAAAGAGTATAGCCATTGTTCTGTAAAATGTATCTTTTTAAATACTTCACTCCCTTTTTTTCCTCCAGCAGCTGCAAATGTTTCAAGCCTCCCTTCTCCATCCCAAAGGCTATCTCAGATAAGGTGGCGAAAAAAACACACACGCGATGACATGTTCTCTGAGCTCAGGCACTGACAGAGCTGTGTGGAGGGACACAATAGCAGAGTACAGGACAGTGGCCGATGAACGTGAGGAGAAGTGGCGGCAGGAAGATCAGAGGAGGCATGAGGCAACGCTGGGCTACTGCGGGATCAAACGGACATGCTCCGGTGTCTAGTGGAGGTTCATGAACGGCAGCAGGATCACAGACTGCCGCTGCAGTCCCTGCTTAACTGCCCTCTGTCCTCCCCAAGTTCCATAGCCTCCTCACCCAGATGCCCAAGAACGCGGGGTGGAAGGCTCCAGGCACCCAACCACTCCACCCCAGTGGACAGCCCAAGCAACAGAAGGCTAGCATTCAACAAGTTTTGAAGTGGCCTTTTCCTTCCCTCCTACCCTCCTCCCACACCCCACCCTGCTACCTTGTCAGTTATCTCCCTATTTTTATAATCAATTAATAAAGAATACATGTTTTTTTAAATGATAGTGACTTTATTTCCTTTGCAAGCAAGCTGTGATTGAAGGGGGGGGGGGTGGCTTACAGGGAATTTAGAGGCAACCATGGGGGTGGGTTTTCATCAAGGAGAAACAAACAGAAGTGTCACACAGTACCCTGGCCAGTTATGAAACTGGTTTTCAAAGCTTCTCTGATGCGCAGCGCTTCCTGCTGTGCTCTTCTAACTGCCCTGGTGTCTGGCTGCGCGTATTCAGCGGCCAGGCAATTTGCATCAACCTCCCACCCCGCCATAAACGTCTCCCCCTTACTCTCATAGAGATTGTGGAGCACACAGCAAGCAGTAATAACAGTGGGAATATTGGTTTTCCTGAGGTCTGAGCGAGTTAGTAAACTGTTCCAGCGACCCTTTAAACGTCCAAATGCACATTCTACACTTCTGCACTTGCTCAGCTTATAGTTGAACAGCTCCTGACTACTGTCCAGGGTGCCTGTGTACAGCTTCATGAGCCAGGGCATTAACAGGTAAGCTGGGTCCCCAAGGATAACTATAGGCATTTCAACATCCCCAACAGTTATTTTCTGGTCTGGGAAGTAAATCCCTTCCTGCAGCCGTTTAAACAGACCAGAGTTCCTGAAGACGCGAGCGTCATGAACCTTTCCCGGCCATCCCACGTTGATAGTGAAACGTCCCTTGTGATCCACCAGTGCTTGCAGCACCATTGAAAAGTACCCCTTGTGGTTTATGTACTGACTGCACTGGTGGTCCAGTCCCAAGATAGGGATATGGGTTCCATCTATGGCCCCACCACAGTTAGGGAATCCCATTGCAGCAAAGCCATCTAGTATGGCCTGCACATTTCTCTGAGTCACTACCTTTGATAGCAGCAGCTCAATGATTATGTTGGCTACTTGCATCTCAGCAACCCCCACAGTAGATTTGCCCACTCCAAATTGATTCCCGACTGACCGGTAGCTGTCTGGTGTTGCAAGCTTCCACAGGGCTATTGCCACTCGCTTCTCAGCTGTGAGGGCTGCTCTCATCTTGGTATTCTTGCACTTTATGGCAGGGGAAAACAAGTCACAAAGTTCCATGAAGTGCCCTTATGCATGCGAAAGTTTTGCAGCCACTGGGAATCATCCCAGACCCACAACACTATGCGGTCCCATCACTCTGTGCTTGTTTCCCGGGCCCAGAATAGGCGTTCCACGGCATGAGCCTGCCCCATTAACACCATGATCTCCAAATTGCGGGGGAATGCGGTTTTAGAGAAAAGTGTGTTCATGTCCATCGCCTCCTTGCCTGGTTTTTCAGGTGCTGGTTCTGCATACACTGCACGATAATGCGTGAGGTGTTTACAATGGTCATAACTGCTGCGGTGAGCTGAATGGGCTCCATGCTTGCTGTGCAATGGCGTCTGCTCCTGCTTGGGCAATCCAGGGAAAAGGGCGCAAAACGATTGTTTGCCGTTGCTCTGACAGAGGGAGGGGGCGACTGACAATATGGCTTACAGGGAATTAAAATCAACAAAGGGGTGGCTTTGCAAGAAACAGAATGCCCCCCTTAAGGACAGAACTCAAAAATGGGTTTAGCAGGCGTTTGATTTCACAGAAGGAGGGAGGAGAAAATGAATACAAAACAAATCTGGTCTATTTCTTGTTTTGATCCACTTCATCTATCTTTATACATCTTGCTGGCAGCAGACTGTGCAGTACGACCGGCAGCCATCATCATCTCCTGGGTCCTCGGCAGAAGACGGTGCAGTATGACTGCTGGCCATCGTCTTCTCCTGGCTGCTGATTAAAAGACAGTGCACTGCTGGTAGGACTCAGTCGCCATGAGATGAAACTTAAAAAGGAAATGACCTGGCTGAGTCACTCTCATGTTTGCCCAGGCACCCCGAGCTCATCCAGGTCGGTTAAAAGAGCACCCTGGACTACATTGATGACGGCTACCAGTCATACTGTGCTGTCTGCTGCCAAAAGGCAATAAGCTGCTGCTGTGTAGCAATGCAGTAGTGCATCTGCCAGCATCCAGGGGACATATGGTGACGGTGAGCTGAGCAGGCTCCATGCTTGCCGTGGTATGGCGTCTGCACGGGTAACCCAGGAAAAAAGGCGCAAAACGATTGTCTGCTGTTGCTTTCACGGAGGGAGGGAAAGGGGGCCTGACTATATGTACCCAGAACCACCCGCGACAATGTTTTAGCCCCATCGGGGATTGGGATTTCTACCCAGAATTCAAATGGGCGGCAGAGACTGCGGGAACTGTGGGATAGCTACCCACAGTGCAACGCTCCAGAAGTCGACGGTTGCCTCGGTAGTGTGGACACACTCTGCCGACTACATGCACTTAGAGCATTTGTGTGGGGACACACACAATCGACTGTATAAAAACACTTTCTACAAAACCGATTTCTATAAATTCAATCTAATTTCGTAGTGTAGACAAGGCCTGAGAGAGACAAGCTTTTGAGCTAGAACACCACTCACTCTTCTGGTCTAGGAAATGTACTCAGAGTGTCACAGTTAAATACAAGGAGGAACAGATTGTTTAGCATAACTAGTTAACCCATATTTCAAGAGACCATTCAAAGTGAAGTGGCCTGTTACGACCTCTACAGTCGTGAGGGAGACAGGGGTTGGTTCGTGGGTTATAGATTGTTCTAATAAGCCATAAATGAATGATTACTGCCAATTATAAAGCTCTGAAAACAAGAGTTTATAAACTTGGAAATGCTGACAGACCCTTAACTTAGCAAGCAGCTTTCTGCTAGCTCTTAACTGTGCATGCTCCTTCCTTGTATCCCTGTTAAATATCAGGAAGGGGAGATTATTCCAGTGTCATAATCTCCCAAGGAAAGTGGTGGATACCTTTATTTCTAAACGCCTTTTAAAAACCAGTCTTGGTAAAGTACTAGAAAATGTGTTGTGCTGAACAATCTTGTATAGGTAGTATAGTTGACTAGAAAAACCTACTCTATAGGTCTCTGAGTCTAATTTTTCTGTGGCTACTGGTATTTGGGTTTGGAACACGCATCAAGGATCATTTGTTTGGATGAAGAGGGTGATGTTACCTACTAAAACACTATTTTACAATTAATTAATAATAATAAACTCTTTTACATCCTCTCTGTTTTAATAAACATTAGTCAAGCAGCAGTCTAACCAGTTCAGAAGCTAGTATGCTTTTGACTAGCAGTTCTCAAACTGCACTTCAGCAGAGTTGTTTCTAGATTAAACACAGGCTTCTGTTAGAATGTTTGTTGCAGCAACATATTTTGTCTACTATGAAGCAGCTTTATCCAATAGAAAAACACCTCATGTATTCATGTCGTGCAAAGCACATATCTAACAAGTGTATTTCACACATTCTATTTCTAATGATTGCTGTTGGTGGGTATTAATACACTAGTCTTATCTAAATTCTGTTTCTAAATAGTGTAGCAAGGAATTTTATAATTGTTACTACTTTTCTGAAGTGGTTTTGTCTGCATTATGTCCAGTTATACTGATAAGATAATTGTTTCTGTCGCTAGGTATTACGCTACAAATTCTGCTTCTTATATAGAAACTACATTATTGTTTGAACAAAAGAAAAAATCAGAGACCAGATTGCTGAAAGTCTTTTTCAAGCCATACAATCTAAAAATAGGCTAGAATTTAATTTTTTACTGCTAAGGCTAAATAATGCACTTGTCCACTAAGCATTATAAACACGTAGACACAGCAGGGAGTAAAATTCTAATAAACCACATAAGCTTTCAAGAAACAAGTATTTGGAATTGTATGACGTTCCGAGGTGCAATCCAGACCAGCGAGGGGCTGTGTTACCACTTCCCTGCAACCTCAGGAGCCTCACATTGCTTTGCTGTGGTAGCTCCAATCTGGGCCGCTCATAAACAGCCATGCAGCATGCAGGTAATACCCTGAGTGTTTGTGGAAACTGTAGCTTGTCAGCCACAAGTCAGTCACACTCTGGCTTCCATCAGCCTGGGTTGTCACTTGCAGGGTGACCCTAACACACTTCCATCTCAGATTTCCCCCCAAAATATATGTTTTGCACTGTCCAGCCCTCTCCTGGACAGGCCAGATATATTAGGTCCATTGGACCTCAGAGGAGATCAGTGTACAACAATTTATTACCATAAATGAAGTTACCCACACCATTCAGTTTAAAGACAATACTAGATTGGTTTTAATAAAAGAATAAAATGAGTTTATTTAACTACAAAGAGAGATTTTAAGTGAGTACAAGTACAAGGCATTAAAGTCAGAAATGGGTTACAAGAGAAATAAAGATAACACTTTCTAGTGCTAAAACTTGATTGAAGGTAAAATTCTTACCTCATGCTCCATGCAATAGGGCTGACCCTGTTTCAGGTCGGGATTTCTCCCAAAGTCCAAACATTTTTTCTTTTATCTTTTTAGGTGAAAATGAAAGATATGAATAGGGAGAGAGAATGTGGAATGTTTTTGCCCCTCACTTTATAGTCCCGTACTTCTTTTGAAATGCGTTTTCCTGAGGGTTACCCCTAGATAAAGTTTGTTCCCACTGTGAGGTTGGATCATGGAGTCTTGTGAGGAAAGAGGTTCCATGCTGTTGTTTGCTAAGATGCAGATCAGTTTGTTCCTGCCCGCCTCTCCTTCCTCCCCCCGCTGTCGCCCTTACCAAAGAATGGCCACTTGATAGGTGGTTGCCCATTAACTTTGATACCAGTAGTGCGTGTCAGCTTGTCCTTTGTCTTTGAGAAATGTGGTTTGCCTACTCCCCAGATATGTCTGGTAAACACACTTCAGTCATGATTTCAGCTTATATTTATAACTCTACATATAATATTACTACATACATTTGATCGTGATATTTTTGATCAGTGAGTTTTTTGTTTTCAAATACTACCTCACAAGGCATATTTTGTACAAAGAGTATTACAGTAGTGTGTACGGTGTGAATACAGGGTTGCATTCCATCATCGACCCCTTCTGCTTTGTAAGTCTTGCACCCTTCACTCCCTGCACCAGCAGCC